CCGCAGGGGAACCACAACATTCCGATCCATCCTACTCCACCTCACCCCTCTCCTCCCTCCCTCCTCTCCTCTCCTCTCCTCTCCTCTCCTCTCCTCTCCTCTCCTCTCCTCTCCTCTCCTCTCCTCTCCTCTCCTCTCCTCTCCTCTCCTCTCCTCTCCTCTCCTCTCCTCTCCTCTCCTCTCCTCTCCTCGCTTGCTCTCTCTTCTCCCTCCTTCCCGCCTCTCACTTTGCTGGTCGTGAATTCTTCAGGAGCAGTCTTGGACAGCCTGCAGGCAATCAGAACCTCTCCGGTTGCTGGGCAGCGAGACCTGGGGGAGCTTGACGACAGGACGAGAGAGGAGGACGAGCGAGAGCGAGGAGGATGGGACGTGTTGAGAGAGGAGGGGACAGGAGCCGATAACTTGGAGTCGACAAGAGACGAGGACATGGTGGGAGAGAAGGAGAGGAACGCGTTCGAGCGGAAGGGGCGGAAAGCTTCTGGGGGTTTTGAGACGCCTGCGAGAGGAGAAGTTTGAACGTAAGGAAGGAAGAGGAGGGGAAGTGGGAGGAAAGGAAGAGAGTTGAAGCACAGGAGGAGGAGGAGGAGGAGGAGGAGGAAAAGGAGGAGGAGGAGGAAAACGAGGAAGACAGTTGAAGCACAGGAGGAAGAGGATGAGGAGGAGGAGGAAAATGACAAACTGAAGAGAGTTGAAGCACATGAGGAAGAAGAAGAGGAAGACGAGGAAGACAACGAGGGGTTGTCTCACCACAGAACGGGGTTCGTGGAGGGGTTTGAGCGAGAAGAATGTCGTAATGTCGAGGGTTGGAGATGAAAGTTTGGAAAGGATTCAAGCGAAGTCCTGTCATAATCAGTGAGATGAAATCAGTCCCACAGTCGAGCAAGCATGACTTGCTGTGAACATCGTCTTGCTCCTCCTCTTGCTCCTCCTCTTGCTCCTCGTCTTCCCACTCCTCCTCCTCCTCCTCCTCCTCCTCCTCCTCCTCCTCTCTGCTCCTCCTCCTTCTCGCTCCCCTTTTTTCTTTCCTTAACCCTCTTGCAACCCTGCCCTCCTATCTCCCGTCTCTCACCATCCTCGTCCTTTCTTCCTCCCCAACTGAGTCTTCTTGACTCTCCTCCTCCTCCCCTTCCGTCTCCCGCCCCGCTGTCTCCTCCCTTGCCCTCCCCTCCTCTCTCCTCTCCTCTCCCCTCTCCTCTCCTCTCCCCTCTCCCCTCCTCTCTCCCCTCCTCTCCTCTTGCGCTCCCCTCCTCTCAGCCCATTACCTGTGTGCGGCGGCCAAGTGTCTATGAGCATACTGACGCTCCTCTGCAAGGCACGAAGGGTATGAACCGCGAGAAAGAACGAGCATGTCAAGGTTCGCAAGACCTCGAAACCTTGAGCGCTCGGCCGATTCTGACCAAAACCTCAAAAATTGTAGAGCAACGTGACCTCTCCACCTCCATCATCATCATCTCCATCATCGCCATCTCCATCATCATCATCATCTTCATCTTCATCTTCATCATCGTCATCTCCACCATCGTCATCATCTCCATCATCGTCATCATCATCTCCATCAACATCTCCATCATCGTCGTCATCATCGTCATCTTCATCACCATCATCATCTCCATCATCGTCGTCATCTCCAGCATCATCTCCATCGTCGTCGTCATCATCAGCATCATAATCATCATCATCATCTCCATCATCATCTTTCAGCCATGTTTCATCACCTTCAGAACTCGGTCCATCGGAAGAAGGGGTCTATCGCCTACCCTGCAGACATAAAAGGAGAAGACAGAAGAACAAACAGCGGGAGAAGAGAAGAGAAGAGAAGAGAAGAGAAGAGAAGAGAAGAGAAGAGAAGAGAAGAGAAGAGAAGAGAAGAGATCGTTAGTAGATAGGAACCAAAATGGCGAGAAAAGGGAAGTATATAAAGAAGGTACATGACAAACAAGATGAAAACTCATCAACATTAAACTGCAATCAAACCAAATGAGATCTACCAGGGACCATGCCGGACATCGCTCTCTTCCTTCCAAATAATCGGGTTGTCAGACGTCGAATGATAATTCCTGTTGATCCGGGTGAAGGGGCTGTGGAAAACAACACGAGGAGGAGGAGGAGGAGGAGGAGGAGGAGGAGGAGCAGGAGGAGGAGGAGCAGGAGCAGGAGCAGGATCAGGAGCAGCAGGAGGAGAAACAGCAGCAGCAGGAGCAGGAGAAGACAGAGGAGGAGGAAGAGAGAGCAGGAGGAGCAGGAGGAGCAGGAGGCGGAGGAGAAACTTTGTCAGCTTCACTCTGCAGTTCTCAGAAAACCTCGCAAGACCTCTTCTCTCCAATCTCATCCAGAGTCGTCTCTCGCACATCGTTGAGGATTCCTGACTTGAGGTGCGGGTTGAAAAGATATTTCGGTTCCCTCCTTGCATTTCCTGCCTGGCATGTGCAGCAGTCAATGTGGAATGTCGTGGACTTGACCATCATCGGGCTTACGTCCTCACTCCCAGCTCTTGCGCTGTTTGGCCACCTGCAGTTATGGCGTTATCCTCTTTCCCTCCCTTACTCCCTGCCTCCCTGCCTCCCTGCCTCCCTCTCCTCCCCCCCCCTCTGTCCATCCCACTCTCTATCCTTCCCTCCCTCCCTCCCTCCCTCGTCTCCCTCCGACTCACAGGTATCGGAAAAGACTCTGATACGTGACCACCCTCTTGCCTGTCCCTGGCAGCTCTATGCTCGGGCAGCTGTCTAGCAACAACTGTGCCTCCCTGCTGCTGGCTCCCATCATGGTTGCCATCTTTTTCAGCTCCTCGATCCCCAACAAGCCTTCTCCCCGCGAGTCGCACGCCTTGGCTGCCTTGACACAGTCCCTCAAACCTCCCTGCCTCCACTTGTTCCAGCCTGGCATTACATGACTCTGACTTTTCTGCTCCTCCGCGAGCTCCGTAGCATGCGAGCGACTTCTTCTCGTGCCAGCTCGCTCCTCCCTCCCCTCCTTCACGCTCAGCTCAGCTTGGACAACTCCGGCCATCCTTCCTTCCAGCACTGACTTTGCCCGAGGCCTGCTCTCCCTTTTTTCAGCCTCCTCCCTTTTCCCCTCCAAGGTCGTTGTCATCTTCTGCCCGTTCGTCCTCCCCGTGCTCGTCCTCTCGCGACGCGCTCCCGGCATGTCGAACGAGTCGGCGCGGGACTCCCCGGACGGTTGAGATAGTTTGACTAGCCTGTCAAACTGTTGTTTTGGTACTTTTAAAACTTGAGTCTTTGTGTCCACCCGGTGTATCCGTCCGGGCCGGGCCGGGCCGGGCCGGGCCGGGCAACCTCATCTTCACTCAACGAGCCGGCCGGCGCGACCCTTCACGATGGTCAGTCGTACTAATAAGTTTTAACTTTATATGAGTAAAATTCTATAGTAGTACACACCCTGGCGATGAGTAAAATTGTTGTAACCTTCCGCTCTTTCGCAGTGTCCTGGTGAATTATCCCGAACGGGGTGAAGATTCATGGCAGGGAGAGCTTGGCGCTGTCAGGCGGCGCTGCTGATGCTGGTGCTGCTGGACATGGTGGCGATGGGGGGATGGAATGCGGCATGGCAGTGGCGAACGGAAGGAACACATAAGGCAGCACCTCTCGTGATGGGGATGATGATGTCAGCTGATCCGATGCGATCCAGGGACACAGTGACGTGGATGAGGCGGGGGATGCCGATGGAAGCAGGAGTTCCAGGCCTGACGCAGGACGCCGCCATGGTAATGAGCATGGTTAAGTCTAGGAGAGACGTTTGGGAGGATGTGATGATGGAGCGAGGATCTTCGGTTATCCAGCAGCGTACACACATTACGGTGGATCAAGGGAAAGGAGGGGTATCCAAGGGACCAGAGTTATGCGTCTGCAAATGCCTAACAAATGTTTCGGTTCAGTTCGAATGTGCTTCCACTGGATTGAACAGCTCAATATGCCCTGAATCGATGGTGATGCATTGCACCAAGGGATCGGAGGGTTGCTTTCACTTGTTCGCGAATGCCAGACATGTCCTGGCCTTCGTTAGGGTAAGTGGCCCAACAGTACAGACGTTGAGGTTCCGACAGCATCGTGACGCGTCGATCAACAAGTACACATGGTCAGCTCCATACAAGATGTGCACGGCTGGAAGGTACTTTGCTAGTGTCTACCTGGTGTTGCGTGATGAGCGACCGGAATCGGTGATGGACAGCGAGTCATGTGTAGCTGCTGAGTTTGAAACTCCACCACGCTTCAACTGGACTTTTGACGGGCAAGACGCAGAAAGCTGTGGGTGGCACTGGACATGGCGAAATGTGTCCGAGGCTGTTCAAACTGATTACCCCCGGGTCTTGTCTTCATACCTGTTCCCTAGGGTGAACCAATCCTTGCTGCACCATTTCTCAGAGCTACGGTATTCTATGCCAGCAAGTAAGTGTTCGCTTGCCGCCTTTCAAACAAGACCGATCTGTCTGATTGGCGACTCGCATATGCGAAACCTGGCGAACTCTATTCAGGCATTGATGAATGGGCAGTGCGATGCTGAGGAGATGCAAAAGACGCATTCAGTGTGCAGATTGAGCCATGTCTTATACTTCCCTTTGTACTACCCGCATGAATGGCGGTGGAACGCTGCGTATGAAAGGTGCTACTTCATTTGCATCAATGTCGGTCAATGGTCCGCTAGCTCCCGATCAAAACCTCCATGGAACCTGACCAGATATTCTCGCGGGGTTGGATCGCTGGTCAAAGTCCTCGACTACCTCGTGACCCGTCGACACGTCCTGCATGTGGTATGGCTGAGCACTCTCCCGCACACCATAGACAAGTCGATGGTTCGCTGTCCCCCTACAGACTGGCGATTTCCACATTTCATCGAGGGATACAACTCAGTTGCACGAAAGGAAGTCGCATCCACAGCTGGACGGGTGGCCTATCTTGACCTGTACAAGATCGCTTTCAATCTCTTTGACGTGTCTTACGATGGAGCCCACTACCAAGGACCTGTCGGGGCAGCACTCGCTACCGCGCTGTTGAATCATCTTCTAACTAGCATGAGTGCTGCATGCAGGATCTCAGGCAAATAAAAACTGAATTGCTATCACTACCGTCACTCGGACTCGGGATCAGTGGCTGACTGTGAACTCAGTCATATCGGGGAGTCGGAGCCTCGGAGCGTGCCATCAGGCCAGTGCCCGGCTGTGGCCGGGCCAGCCCGGGCGCCGCGCGGCGCCGGCCCCCGGCCCCTCGGATCGGACTCCTGGCACTGCCGCACCGTCACCGTCGGCCGCTGTCCGATCCGGGAGTCCGTCCGGCGGCGCGGCCGGGCGCCGGGCCCGGCTCTCGGAGCCACTGGCCGCACTCACGGTAGTAAAAAACTGAACCCTCAAGCTGGGCAAAGTGGCCGGCGGGCCCAGTGACGGTGGCCGCGGGGGCGCGGCGGCGGCGCGGGACCGGGTGACGTTTAGTACCGTGACGCCGGCTGAGTCCGGGCCCCGAAAAACGGTCCGAGTTTTGCCGTTAGCTTTACAGAGTATCTGCCGGAGTCGGCGATCGGACTCCGAGCCTCCGAGTCGGACCGCCCCGCGCTCAGCCGCCTGCGGTATCCCGGGTCAAGTTGCCAGTCACCCGTCAGCAGCCGCTCATTCTGAGCCGTCACGGTCCGATCGCACAGTCGGACTGCCTGGTACGAGCCTGGACGGGCGGGACGTAGGGATCATCGCCCAACTGATGAAAAGATCTCCTTTGGCACAGGGACCCCACCCAGCTGACCCTTCCCCTACTATTGAGGCTACGTCCGCCGCCAGCCGGCTCCGAACTACAGAACTTGATGGTAGAGTATTGAGTGAATTATACGGTAGCAGGGTGATATGAATATACTTAATAAAGCACCCGGGCCTACTACTGCATGGCCTGTACTAGAGTGACTGCAAGAACTGAACCTTCACCATGGTACCACCCCCCCTGGAACGGCAGGAACCCCCCCTTCCGACCGGAAATCAACCTCGCCGCTCCGACTCGGCCCGCCGACGCCGCACGACACTTGTACCGGCGTGTCACAGCCCCCACTCTCGTATCTGTTCAGAAATGTGCCAACAGACCTCGAGGTCATACCCCTCCCGACCTTCGAATTATGTACCCTCCTGTAGGCTGACTGACCACCCCACCCGCTGTTGGTAAAATGACCAATGACATCCTGAGTTCGGTATTGGAATCCAATTTTGACATCACCCCTCCCATTGCGATTTCCACCCCACCCCCTGTGTGGTCATATCAACTTCCGCCGCACAATTGAGCCACAAGCGCGGTCGCAGGAAGCCCCACCCACCCCAACATCAGATTCCGTACCTCGATTTACTTTTCAGGGACACCCCCAGGCACCTTGAGCATCGGATACCACAGATTCTGACTACCCACCATACCTATCGTGTAATTTTGCTCTTCAAAAGTAGGGTAGAGGGTACCGGTAATCAGTGGGAGGGTAGAGTGGGGTCATTAGTTGAACGACCAAACACCGAGGATTTTTTAAAATTTTATTTTTTAAAAGAGATGATATGATATGTTTTCGACATTTTCAAAAAATCAAAAGTTGCATTCCAAGCGCGGGAAAGGGGCGAAAGGAAGGTTTTTGCTCCATTCTTCCTTGAATATTTTATAAGTGAGCGAGTCGGAATCCAGGATACGGAGTGGGTAGGGGTAATTGAAAGGGGTTTTCAGCCTGGGGGGTGTGGTGCTCTGACAGATTTCCTATGGGTGGGGTGATTACAGCTATGTGTTTGGCTGCAAGGTACTGAATGCTGAATTTTTAGATTGTAGGGGTGGGAGAGAAGGGGGGTTATGAACCATGGGGGTGGTGTATGGGGTAGCTTGCGAGTAATGGAAGTCAAAACATGGGGTGTGTTTCAGCACAGAAAGGGGGGTAGACAGATCATTACGCCCCCAGGGGGGGTCACGACGAAGTTGCGGGGTACTTTGAATTCCAGGGGTAGGGTTGGCAATTGTAATTTACAAGTACTTTGTTTATTTACAAAATATTAAATTGGTTCAACAAGACTGGGTCAACAGCTTCACCACCCAGGTACCCACAGACATGGAAACGGGGGGTACGCTGATTCCTGTGAGTCAATGCGACTATTGAACAAATCACCTGGGGGTCCCTCGCACGAGGACAATCTAAGGATGGTGGGTATTCAGACTACGGGTAAAAAAGTCTGCATTAATAGGGTAAATTTGGGGGTATTCAGTGAAACATTGCATTTGGTTAATGTGCAGGGTGGTTTCAAGGAAGGGTATCTGGGGTGGGAAAGGAAGGAGGGGGTTAGATATGAAACGATGAGGTATGTCGTGCTGGTATTTGAAGGGTGCCGGGGGTATGTGTAAAGATTGGGTGGGGGTAATAGTAAAGATGTTGTATTTATAGGGTAGGGGTGCTCCAGAGGGGAAGGTGAAGGGCAGCCTCATTTACCATAGAGCAGAGCTATACTGACTTTGATTATTACAACATTTGAAAATTGTTTATACATGGGTGCCTTGGCTCAATGATTCCGCAGAGGAACGGGGAGTTGAAAGAAATGTACCAATATTCTGGGTGGGGTTAGTGGAACTCGGGGGTACAGAACGAAAGATGCTTGATATCATGGGGTGGGGGTGAGGGGGTGGCGTATATAATACGAGAGGGGCGGTATTGAAGCAAGAGGATCATGCAAGGCCAGGGGGTGTACAGGTAGGCGCGATGAGATAGCGTGAAACAGAACCAAGGAAGGACTGTCCTGTAGAGTAAGAGCAACACGGACTAGTTACACAATCTTCTAGGATACGAACAGGAGAGGTTCGTCGAAGGACTTGTCACCAGCGTTGCCAATCAAGTAAAATCACCCCCGGATCCCGAAGAGCCTTCCTTGATTGCGAATTTTGGGATTCGACGGAGGATTCCTGCCTTGCAGAATGAGTAACGAAGAGATGGACGAAACGTTGACCTGGTATCGAAAGGTTGAGGAGAGGAATCTCATACTCGACTGGGAAGGGCCCGACAAGGCTCAGGTAAACATTGTTTTTCCTTTCTGCTGGGAACCTATGCTAACTCTTTGACCATAGTACCTGCAAAATCGACAAAGGATGGTCAACCATGTCTCAAACTTGACCAATTATCTCAATCTGAGTGGTCTCTTCGTACATATCTCTACCTTGTACATGGATAGATTCTTCAGCAAGATGCCGGTTTCTGAGACAAGTTGGCGCATCTACGCTTCAGCTTGCCTTCTCCTTGCAATGAAAATGGAAGGTCCTGCGACCGCTGGTACCCCTACCGATCTCGTTGAATTCATGGTCGACGAGTATGAATTGACCATCGAGCATGTCAAGATCGCCGAGTTACAAATTTTGAAAGTGTTGGAATGGAGCCTTACCTCACCAACGATGTTGCATTTCATGGACGTGTATAAGGTTGGAGGAATTTACTTTTCCGACGACCTCAAAATGACCAAAGGTGTCCCAACGCACCTTGACAATCAGGACAGAATTTGCGTGTGGGAGTACGTTAGCTTTTTCTGTGATCTAGCAATCCAGAAGCAAGAATTCATGTCCTGCAAGAATTCACTCAAGACGGCGGCAGCAATTGCGGCTTCCCGAGCTTGCTTGAATGTTACGCCTCTTTGGAATGAAAGATTGGCGAGAATGACTCACTATAACATGTCGGAAATCTTTGAGTGCTTCTATAGACTTCTTCAAATCTTCCGCGAGCAGTACCCTAATAATTTTCCTGTTGGAATATCTTCGCTCTTGGAGGATTTTGGCATGCCGCTTTGATTGGACCGCGATATGCATTTGCATTCAAGCGTTGTACATCTGAAATATTCTTTTCTCTTCTATTTTTCGTTATTCTTTACTATTGTTCATTAGTGAAACACTCTATTTTACCATTTTCATATCTGCTTCGCCATTGTCCTGTAATCCTGTAACCTCGAATGCTCAAGACATGTGTTGTTGGCAACTTGAGCCCCGGCTGAACCGCAGTGCTACGGTAGCCGCCGCGGCCGGGTGACGCGTGTCAAGTTGTCGGGCCCGGCGAAACTCCGGCCGGCCGAAGGCTCTCAGTACAGTCCGAGTAGTGAGGAACAAGTTCGGTAGCACTGACCCCCACCCCACCCCCCACCCCCACTCCAATAACTAAAGTACCCCTGTTAGTCAGTGATAGCACTGGGGTTTTTGAAACTGTTCAGGAGGCTTCTATAGACGGGTAGGGGTAGTCGAGGATGATGTAGGGGTGGGTTATGTTGACTCAGGGGAATGTCGGGGGTGGTCAGTTTGATTTGGGTCGTGTTGCCATACTAAGTAAGGGTAGGGTAGGGTGATGCAAGGCAGTTCAGTTTAGGGGGAAATTCGAGGGTAGTCATGGGGAATAGAGGGGGTGATAGAAAGGGGGTTCAAACAGAACTGGGGGTGGGGGTGCTTTAGGGGTGGAAGGGCTCCAGTCGGGAATGAAGAGCGCGGAGGTGGAGGAGCAGGTTCGGCGAGGAGGAGGAGGGAGTGAAGGAGAGGGGAAGAGAGAGAGTTTGTACTCACTCCTTTGTAGGATACGCCATGCTGAAGGTGCGACGGGGTCGAGAGGAGTGAAAGACGGGGAGGTTTAGGCGGGTTGCGGACGTTGAAGCAAAATATAGAATTGGCAAGGGCACCAAAAGATTTGCTATCCATTGTGATGATGGGACGTTTTCTCTGCGGCAGAGGCTGCAGATTCTGTGGTATATGAACGAGAAAGATTTCGTGTGGGGATGTTGCTTATGATGAACCTCCAAACCGTACGAATTGATCCAGCTTGATCGGCCAGGGAAATTTTTGTCTGCTCTGAGAGATGGAGGACTATGAGGTTGGGATGCTGGTCGGGGAGGGGAGTTTCGGGAAAGTGTTTCAAGGCAGAAGGAAATTCTCTTCGCAGGTTGTCGCGTTGAAATACATTCCCAAACATGGGAAGAGTGAGAAAGACCTCAGAAACTTGAGACAGGAAATCGAGATTCAACGCAAGCTCGATCACCCGAACATCATAGTGCTGCTGGACGCATTCGAGACGCACAACGAGTTCTGTCTTGTGACTGAGCTGGCACAGGGGGAGCTTTTCGAAATCTTGGAAGCAGATGGTTCGCTCCCAGAGATCGAGGTTCAGAACGTTGCGAAGCAGATGATAAGAGCGCTGCATTACCTTCATTCGAACAAGATCATACACCGCGATATGAAGCCGCAGAACATTCTCATCGGACCTGATCGACAGCTGAAGCTCTGTGACTTTGGGTTCGCACGAGCGATGACACAGCAGACTTTGACCCTTACCTCCGTCAAAGGAACACCGTTGTACATGGCACCAGAACTGGTTCAGGAGCAGCCATACAACCATACGGTCGACCTATGGTCCCTTGGAGTGATCCTCTATGAGCTTTTCCGGGGAGAGCCTCCTTTCTACACTAACAATATCATCGCGCTGGTCGGGCAGATTGTCAAGGACCCTGTCAAATGGCCTTCTGGAATGAGCCCTGACTTCAAGTCATTCCTCAAGGTGACATTTTGATGGCTTGTGATGTCTGTAGACCCTAGAACTCATCGTTGTCGCTGCGCAGGGATTGCTGGTGAAGGATCCGCAACGCAGACTCACCTGGCCAAGGCTGGCTGAACATGCCTTCATCCTATCAAAAGGAGAAGCAAACTGCATCGATTTGAATAACCAGCTCCCTGCTCCAAGGCAGAGCATTGCACAACAATTCACCAAGGTGGCAAGTCAATCGACTGAATCCTTCCGCGGGGGTGAGGAGTTCAAGACAGAAACCGGCATGACACAGAGCAAACGTCCTCCAATATTTGACAAGAAGCACCCGAGGTTTGGACAGGGGGACAGTCGCGCGGAGAACGCACAGGACGAATTCAATTTTGCTCCTCAAGGGCAGAAGATGAACATCTCCAGTCGGACGCCTGGGAAAGGAACTCCAAACACCACGATGGAGGACGACAAGACTGGAAAGTCTCCCAAAGTACGAACCCCCGCGAGCAAGCGAGATGCTTCTCCTGTGAGCAAATACATCACAACTCCCAACTGTGAGAAGAGCGATCGAGACGCGTCACCTTCCAGGCGCAACATGCAAGACCACAATCAGTCCCCTAAGATCTCCCCTGGTGTCGGTAGCCGCGGGCCGGGAGGCATTCCTGTGCATAGAGGGGACGTTCGTGCCAAGACTCAACCTGGGAAGCAAAGGCAGAGGCCGGCAGGAGGCGCTAAGCTCGGCTATGAGGATGTGACTTCCACCCCTCAGCAGACAGCTTCTTCGCAGGCGGCCACCATGAGCAGGGTGGACAACGCGACGGGTGCGGCCCGTCCGAAGGCCCAACCACTCGTGCGCCGAGCGGGCCCGGCGCCGACCCCAGGAGGAGACGAGTGGTGGCAGGAGGTGGAAACGATCTCGAAGACAACTCAGGGTACGGCGAAGCTGCTGCGGGACAAGCTCTTTCATGAGAAGCTTCTGATGATCTTGGACACCATCGATCAAGCTGCCTCCTTCGATCACAGTATGCTGAAGCGGCTGGGCGCAGCTCTCAAGACCATGAACAACATCTTCACCTACACCATGCAGAGCAGTGGGTCGCCAAGGACGCCTTCGAACTCTGCGAAGCTGTTTCCCATCCTCGAGGTCGTCAAGAAGCTCTTCGCTCTCCTGCATCTCTTCCTTGGCACGGAAATCTTGCAGCGGATGGGCACACTGAGCACGAAACCTCCCTCGAAGTTGGCTGCCGAGCTCTCGCGTGTCATGAACCTAGCGATGAGGAAGAGCATCCTAGAGACAGACAGCGTGCACGAGGAAGTGTACCAGCACGTGTCCGACCTCCTCCCTCTGGCCTTCTCTACTAGCATGGAGACGGGAGCAATCATCCGGGCAAGCTTCATGGACATCCTCGGATTCCTGGGTCAACACTCAGGCGGCAATCCGGGGAAGAATTCGAACTTCTACAAGATGCTGGTGAAGAGGAAACTCCTCTCCCCTGTCGTCTCCCTTCTCGCGTCTGCGCAATTGTCGGAGAAGTCGCATGCACAGGAGGCACATGCGGCCGTCCAGTGCCTTGCCGACATCGTCTGCGCCAACTGCGAGTACGTCTCGACCTTCCCCGGAGTCGAGCAAGGGAGCAGCTCGGTTACAGCTGGGGATGGAGTGGGAGAGGAGGAGCCGGCGGGGTCGAGCGCCGCGATGGAGGCGGGAGGAGTTGTGTACGAGCTCTTGTCCGAGAACACATCATCGCTGCTCAACCTGGTTCACTGCGCAGAGGTAGGCTGTTGCCAGACGTCTGCAGCCCCGCAGGTCAACAAGGAGTGTGAGAGCAACGCGATGAAGTTGCTCCTCGCTCACGCTACGAGCGCCTCCTGCAAGCCGAGCAGGCACGTTGACCCCAACGTATGCGGGGACGTGGGCAAGAAGCTGATCATCCTAGGACTGTCAAGAAACGTCGGCAAGCCGAGCATGGCAGCGGACGGTCAGGAGAGTCTGCTCGAAGTTCGCGCTCTCCTCTCTGCTTCCAAATTCCTCTCCATGGACCACAAGACGGGGCAGTCGATCCTCCTGCACGATGCCAAGCTCGTCACCTCCCTCGCTGCTCGCCTCTGCTCTGCTCCGGACAGAGCTGTGAAGTTCGCAGCTGCTGCTGCCATTGCCAGCATCCTCTCCTCGTCCGAGCCCTCTTCCCAGGTGCAGAGTCAGGTAGCCGCATGCCTGGCCGAGGTCATCGAAGAGACTGGCATCGCGGCAATCGAGGAGGTGTTCTCAAAGTCTTCCTCCTACAACCTGCAGAGAGCAGAAGGATGCTGCTTTGGGTACGCGCGGTCAGGAGGGCTAGACAGCATGCTTGCCCTCCTCTTCCAGCTCACCAGGATCCTCGGAGCTCGATTCTCAAACCGAATCCTCCTGGTGATTCCTCTCCTACCTCCGCCACCCCCGTTGTCACCCTTCCACCCAAGTCACTCCCATCCCTCTGATCCCCTTGTCTTGCTCCTACCACCTTCCCCTTCCCTTCCTCCCTCATCTGATCCTCTCCTCCTACCTCATCTGGTCCTGCCTATCCTCTCTTGCCCCCCACTCACTTTGCGATCCCTTGCAGAACTCTGGGCTGTGGCATCTCATCTGCAGAAGGCTGCAGACCATCCCAGCCAACGTGGAGCTGTCGCCGCCAGGGCTGATAGATGCGTTGAGCATGATCTTGAATGTGAGGACAAGGACAAGAGCGGAATGGGAGAGAGGAGAGGAGAGTGGGAAGTAAGGGAAAGGAGAGGAGAGGGAGTTGGGAGGAGGAGACAGTGAGAAGGGAAGTCGAGGAGAGGGCAGGATGAAGGATGTTTCAAGTTCTGACGACATTGGCTCAGGTCATCACAACGCATGGAGTTGGAGATGGAGGAGCGAAGGATGCGAACTCAAGGGCGTCGATCATCTGCTCGTCCGACCTCACCTTGTCGTTTGCCAGCATGTTGAAGGTCAGAAATGAAATCAATATTGATGTAGCCAAACCTCCTCTCGTAGCATTTCCTCCGCCGCTATTCTCTCTTCTATTATCTACTGTTGACTCCTCTTCTCTGTCCTTCTCTTCTCCCTTCCTCCCTTTCCCCTCCTCCGCCATCCCCTCTCCTCTCCTCCCTTCTTTCCCCATCCTCTCCCCTCCTCTCCCATCTCCTCACCTCCCCTTCTCCCCTCCTCTCCTCCATCTTCCATTCCCCCCAGAAGGACTAAACTCATTGACTTCAGGAAAACTTTCTC